CCTTGTGACCCCCCTGTCTGCGTGTGACACCGAGCGTGTGTGTGTGTGGCGCTCAGACACAGCCAGTGACACCGAGTGTGCGAGACGCGCTCGGAGGGAGCGGGTGAAAGCTCTGCGTGTGTGTGTGAGAGACGTGCTCAGACACGGACGCTGTCAGCATGTGTGTGTGTGTGTGACACGGACAGAATCACAGAATATGCGGAGTTGGAAGGGACCCACAGGGATCACAGAGCCCAGCTCCTGGCCCAGCGCAAGACCATCCCCGACAATCAAACCATGTGGCCCAGAGTATCCTCCAAACACTCCTTGAGCTCTGGCAGCCTTGGGGCTGTGACCACTGCCCTGGGAAGCCTGTTCAGTGCCCAACAACCCTCTGGAGGAAGAACCTTAGTTTCTAAGATCCAACCTAAACCTCCCCTGACAACTTCAGGCCATTCCCTGGTCCCCACAAAGAGATCAGAACCTGCCCCTCTTCTTCCCCTCGCAAGGAAGTTGTAACTTCAGTGAAGTCTCTCCTTAGTCTCCTCGAGGCTGAACAGACCAAGTACCCTGAACTGTTCGTTCCTCTCATGGCTTCTCCTCAAGGCTCTTCACCATCTTCATTTCCCTCCTTTGGACACTCTCTAAGAGCTTAATAACCTTCTTATATTGCTGTAACACTGTGTGTGTGTGACACCCACAGGCACAGCCTGTGGCCCTGTATGTGTGATACACCCTCACACAAGACATAGGTCTTGTGTGAGACCCCAGCTTAACACCCCGACAGCTTGGCAGGGAGAGGTGGTCAGGTTTGACCTCTCCTTGTTGGTGTGACACCCCTTTTCCTTCAGCCAGGCATTTCTCAGTTGTGTAGAGGTGTGTGTGAGACAGACAGACCTCAAACACAGCCTGCGGCTTCATGAATGACAGGCACCTTGAACTGCAACCTGTGTGGGCAAGACCCCTAAATCCCACCCTGCTGCCTCATGGACATGATGATGGCCACCAGCACAGCCTGTAGCCCTCTGTGTGGGTGACACACCCTGACACCCCGAAGCACAGCCCGAGGCCCAGAGTGTGTGAGACACCCTAAAGCACAACCTGTGGCCTCACAGATGGACAAGGCCCCTTGAAACACCCCCTGCAGCCCAGTGTGAGTGTGATGGGCACCCCTAAAACACAAACCACAACATGGTGTGTTTATGGCTCCTGAAGCAACCCTCTGAGTGCAGCCAACAACCCCAAGACATGAACTGTGTCCCCATATGGGTGACAGATGCTCCACATCTTGCACCCTTGTGTGTGAGAGAGCACAAATCATGCAGCTCTGTGGGAGATTGTTGTCTGTGTGTGAGACACCCCCAGCACTCATCCTGCTGCTTGGTGGGGGTGTCACACCCTGTGACTGCCAGAGTTCAACAGGGATCCCTCCTATGTGCACTCCTACCCCTCACACTAAGGAAACCCCACATATTGTAGGGAGGGACAATCACGCACAAGGTGACACTGTGGGTGAAATGTCCTTCCCCAGCTCAACACCTGGACAGGTTGGTGGGGAGAGGTGGTCAGGTTTGAACTCTCCTCATTGGTGTGACACCCCTTTTCCCTTCAGCCAAGCATTTCTCAGTTGAGGGATGAGTGAGACTGGCATACCCCAAATACACACTCTGCACACTAAAATGGTGTCAACAACCTGAAGTCACCCTTGTACGAGAGAAATGCCACTCCTCCAAGTACTAGCTATGTCCCATAAATCAGAGGAGTTGGGGTTCACCTGTACTTGTTTGTGTGAGAGAGAAAGTAATATCCACCTCCAATACACACCTCGTAATCAACAGGAGGGAGTGTTGAAATGCACACCTGTGTGATAAAAGACCTGGCACCCCGTAGAAGGAAAAAGATTGAGGGAGGGTGCCCAGGTTTTACACCTGTGTGGGGCAACTCCCAGGCCCAACAAACACCTTACAGCCGAGTGAGGGGCAGTGATTGATCACCTCCACGGTGCCAGTTTCCCCCCAGCATCCTTTCTCCTGGTGTGGGAAAGAGACTCGCAGAAAAAACACACCCTGGCTTACTGGGGTGGGGTCACCTGTTTGTGAGACACCCTCCCCTTTTTGCAACATGCCCAGGAGGAAGGAGGTGGTGAGAGGGAAGAGTGATACTCCAATCTCAGTGACACCTGGACGGGCGAGGGAGCTGATACCTGCACCTCCGTTACACCGCTGTGTACGACGTCCCTGCTGCATTACTCACACACACATCACAGCCAGTGGGGCTGTGACCACCAGCCACGTACACCCTACAGAATCACAGAATCATTTCGTTTGGAAAAGACCTCCAAGGTCATCGAGCCCAACATGTGACTGATCCCCACCTTGTCAACCAGACCAGAGCACTGAGCGCCACGTCATTCCTTGAACACCTCCAGGGATGGGGACTCCACCACCTCCTGGGGCAGCCCATGCCAGTGCTTAACAACCCTTTCCATGAAGAAATTCTTCCTGATGTCCAACCTAAACCTTCCCTGGTGCAGCTTGAGGCTGTTTCCTCTTGTCCTGTCACTAGTTGAATGAGATAAGATCCCAACCCCCACCTGGCCCCACCCTCCTGTTGCAGAGAGTGAGAAGTTCCCCCCCTGAGCCTCCTTTTCTCCAGGCTGAGCCCCCCCAGCTCCCTCAGCTGCTCTTCATCAGACCTGTCCTCCAGACCCTTCCCCAGCTCCGTTCCTTTCCCTGGACATGCTCCAGCACCAAAATGGATTCCCTGTCATGAGGGGCCCAAAAAAACTAGGATTTGAGATGTGGCCTCACCAGTGCTGAGAGCAGGGGGACAATGACTGCCCTGGTCCTGCTGGCCACACTATTGCTGATCCAAGCCAGGATGCCATTGGCCTTTCTTGCCCACCTGGGCACACCTGGGCTCATATTCAGCTGCCTGTCAACCAGCACCCCCAGGTCCTTTCCCACTGGACAGCTTTCCAGCCAGTCTACCTCAAGGCTGTAGCACTCCAGGGGGTTGTTGTGACCAACAGCCTGACAGGGGGTTGTGGCTGTGTGATGATTGCACCTCCAACTCCACCTTCACACTCACACACACACACTTTTTCCTAAGGCAAGGGCAGGGGAAGGGGGATGATTGGATGTCACCTCTGCCTGTGAATTACTCAAAGCACCCAACTGCCTGTGCAGGCCTGTGGGGGATGGTGGGGTTTTTCACCCCACCTAAAAGGGTTGTGTGTGTGTGAGTATCAGATACATTTGTGTGCCACATCCCTAAATGTCTGTGTGTGTCATTCTCCTTCTGGATTTACAGCAAACCCCCCTCACAGCCCCAGTGTCTGTTGTGGGAGGAAAAAACCCAGAGTACAGAGCATGTGTTCCCTGATTCCCCCTTCTCCTACACATTCTGCCTGTCTCCATCCTACAGTCTGCACTGACAAGGGAACTTCTGTGCATTGCACGGGGTCGGATGTCCAAAAATAGGCTTGTGGCCTACCTCCTATGTCTGCTTTCAGCTGGGGAATCCTGTTAATGGAGTGTGTTAAAACCCAGAGAGAGGCCAGACTGAGTTCAGGCTGGAAGGGAAGGTGAAGCTTTTAGAAGTGTTTGCTGCTGCTGGAGTGGTGTTTCCCTGAGTCATTAAAATCCTGCTGAAAGGCTGCACATGGATCCTTGGATGCATCAGCAGCACTCTTCAATCCTTAAAGCTCCAAGAACGTTGTTAATTCAGCCACAGGAGCTTTCTGCATGTTTGTTCTGTCTTTTCAAATGGAGAAAGAGAGAAGAAAGAGAGGAGATAAACAAGGAACAAACAAGAAGCCAGGGGAGGAGGAGGCTGTGCTGGGGTGTTTGGTCCCATTGCTCTACCAAAAGGGATAGGATCTGTTTGTTTGACTTATCTTTTGCATTTCTAATGAACTGCACAGGGTAATTTCACTCTGAAGCCTTGTCCCAGATTTTTCTCCACAGTGGGGAAGAAAAAGGGAACGTTAGCTTTCTTGTAGATTGCTTTGTAGACACAGATTGTAGGATTCTCACTTCTTGTCCCTGTTTCCATCAAAGCCAGTGGGATTTCACCATCTTCTCTCCTTCAACAAGTGTTTCACCCTTCATGTCATCCTACTCAAATTCTCCCTCCTTTTGCTCCTTGTCTGATGTCCAGGGAAGATTGTCCAAATGAAGAAGGGGTACTTCAAATTTTCTTTACTTATTTTATATATTCTTTCAGATTATGGAATCACAGAATGGTTTGAGCTGGAAGGGACCTTAAAGACCATTTAGTTACCCTTCCATGAAGGAATTTGTGAGCCTCTTTCATTTGAGCTCAAAAATGGAGTATTTCTCCCTTTTTTCTGTTAGCAGTTCTGAGCTCACAGATGTGGAGCAGCTTGAAAGTTTCTGGCATGACACAGGACCCAAGTTCCATCACCACAGAGTTACAAGAAATGAAAAATAAGACCAAAAATATAAACTTCATTTACCATCAGAGGACAAGCATTTCCTTACAGTGGAATAAATGTGGAAGCTCTAAAGCTAAGTTACCTTTATTTTGAAATGTTATTTATGTAATGCTGTGAATTTCCATACAGATCCTTGTGGGCCCCTTCCAACTCAGGATATTCTATTATATGCCTAAGGGTGGTGGATACTGTGATCCTTCTATCATGAGACCTTCACAGAAGACTTCCATATATATATATATATTTTATATATATATGTATATATAGATACATACACACACATATGGATATATATATATATATCTATCTCCGTATTTCCTTTCTGCAGAGTTAATACATTTGGGAACTTCCTGGGAAAGTGTTTAGAGGCACCATGACAAGCTCCCAAGGACCTCCCTTTGTCCAAGAGGAAAAGGTACCAGGAAAGCAGATATAATAATATATAATAATTCTGTGATTCTAAACTCATGTTACCAAGTTCTCGTGATCACCCTCATCCCATCAGTCTTTGTTTACAAGACAAGCTACTCCCATCAGTGCAATTTTAAGTAATGAAACTACTTAACAGTTTTGAAACTCTCACAGTTTACAAATGATGTGATCATCTTGTATTTTCTTGCAGCACAGTGAGTAGCACAAGTGCAAGTGCTTGCAAGAGTCCATTAGAAACAGCCTTTATTCATTGATGAATCCTTTATTACAAAGCCATTTTAAGATTTTTCCAATAGCTATTTTTAAAACATTTGTTATGCACTCGTATTGATTTTGTATGTATTTTTTTTGTACTGTACAGCACTGAGTCAACACCATTCCTGCTATCAGCTGTACTCGTGATTTTATTAAAGAACAAGATGAAGTTTGTTCTTTGACAGGAACCATTTCCCACAAAAACTGCTGATTGCTGTTCCATTACATCCCCACTCTCCATCTCCTTGTTGACTGGTGCAAACCACTTCCTTATATCCAGGTCAGGAGTGATGTTGGACTCGCCAGACTGAAATTACCTGGACTTCCCTTAGTCAGGCTCTTCAAATATTGACACAAAGCTGTTTTTCTCCTTAGAAATGGTCTCCTGGGCTGTTTATAAACTCTCACATTCCCACCTTGTGTGAGAACAGTCGTCTGAAAAACCAGCTCTTAAAATCATGACACACCATCCTCTAGACCTGCTGTTTTTAAAATGTTAGTTGTGCTTTTGATGTTCTTTTTTAAGTTGCTTGGATAGGAAGCGTTTCATCATCATTATATAACATGGAAATGGCACTCTGGAAATGACATTTAACTTTGTCCCAAATACAGGCAGGAAATATTTATCAAACACTTCTTCTTTGGTCTTTTGTTTGGTTTTGGTTTGTTTTGGTGTTTTCTTTGTTTTGTTTTTTCAGTTTTACAGGCACCCAAATATATTTGGAAACACAGAGAGTATTAGTAATTGGACTCTGCTAAAATATTGATATTTTCTGCACAGGGAACATTAACTCTGTGGCTTTTTTAGAAGAGATATTGTTCAACTGTCTTAAAAATCCTATTTGTGAGTGTTTTCCCTATTGTCAGACATGGGAGGCTTGTCTGGTTTTTGATGTTTTTCTTTTCCTTGAACACCAGCACTATTGGCACAGTTCTTATGCCAAGGTCAAAGTGCCTTTCACTAGATCTAAAATGTTATTCCAAACCCACAGATCCACATTCCTTCACCCCTGCTGCAAGAAGCAGAAGAATGTCCCCCTCTCTCTAAAAGACAAGAATTAGGAAGCAAGGAGAGGGTCATTTCTGTGATTTCAGATATTGTCTCTCTCAATGCAGCATTGTTAAATTGTACAGACTTCTTCTACCTTCTTCCTTCCCCCCCCCCCCCCTTTTCCGGGGCAAACAAAGGAAGAAAGCAAAGTAATGATCCCTGACAGAAATATTTACCCTTTCAGGCTTTGATCTGGCGAAGTCCTGGTTTGAAGTGTTCACCTTTGTGTGGGTGAGACTCACAGAAAGCCAGGCACAGGCAGGTTGCTGGTGGTGCTGGCAAAAAGAAAGACTGAACTGGAGCCATTCTGCTGGTGTGGGCTCAGCCCCCACATCTCCTCCAGGCTCCTCTTATCTCCCTCTGCATCTCCATGGGTATGGATTTTGTCCTTGCAGGAGTGAATGAAAGTGGGGTAAGCTGTTGAATATGACAAAGTTGATGGGATAAGGGAAGAGTGTTTGATGGTGAGTCTAGAAAATGTTATTGTCGGGGAGATATGGGAGACTAATTATTGCTCCCAAAAATCCCAACCCTGCACACGTCCCTCTGGAATCAAGGGGGCAAAGATGTGAAAGATGTAACAGCATCAAATGGAGGGACTGCTCTCAATCTTTTAGCCAAGACCCCTTCAGCATTCTTCTGGGGAGTGTTAAAGAAAAGTTAGCTGCAAGGTAGGCTCAGAGAGGTGGTTAAAATACCTCTCCCATAAATGTGTTTGCCGTTTGAGATGTGTGTCCTGCACCAGGGAGAGTGACAGAATCACAGAATGGTTCAGGTTGGAAGGGACCACAGTGGGTCATCTGGTCCCACCTCCCTACTCCAGCAGGGCCATCCTGGAGCACATGGCACGGGATTGTGTCCAGACAGTTCTGGAATATCTCCTGTGAGGGAGATTCCACATTCTCTCTGGATAATCTGTTCACTGCTCAGTCACTTCACAGGAAAAAAGTTCTTCCTCAGGTTCAGGTGGAACTTCTGGGCACCAGTTTGTGCCCGTTCCTCTTGTCCTATTGCTGGGCACCCTGAGCAGATCTTGGTCCATCCTCTGACACCCTCCTTCAGATACTTAAAGTCCTTGAAACTCAGGTACTTCTCCTCACAGAACATTGATGTAGCCCATCTCCAAGATGCCAACAGCTGCTCTGTGTACACACTGTCCCTTAAATGATAACATCTCATTTCTAAAATATGTCCCTTCTTTACAAATTACTCTTCTAAGTGAGTTTTGTCACGTGTCTCTTGGCTCTGAGATTGGGGCAGTTCCCAGTGTTAGAGGGGCTGCTATCATTGATTTATTTTCCTTGCTAGGGATAGAGAATAGATGGATGAAAATAGTGTAGAAAAGGTACTTCTGGTGTTTTCAACCAGTTGTAACAAGATGCAGAAATTCTTTGAAAAATTCCTTGAAGCTCCACGTTCTCCAAGTCCTTCATTTAGCCAAAGCCATAAAAATATAATCTGAGAGTAAGCTTATTTCTTCCCACGTTTGTTGTTGCTGTTGTTGTTGTTTTTCTTTCAGAGGAGATACTGAGAGTGTGGACACACAAGGCACAAATTAGTTTCGTAGATCCAAGAACAGTAAATGAAGTTGACACAGATAGTTTTGTAAGGACAAAGAGAGGGGTGTTGTGTAACATTCTGGTCAGTGTTGACTGTGGAATTGACAGGATCAAAGCTGAAAACAAGGACTCTCTATTCTTACTGTGCCAACCACTAAGCCAAGAGGCAAAGCAGAAAGTCCCTCTGGAGGAGACCATCACAGAACTTTGGGAAAATGGGAAGCTGGTTCCTTTTAGTAAATGCTGAAGCAAAGAGTAAGAGGTCACTGTCTCTCCCACCCACCTTGCTGTTGGGCATCTGAAAAGATGTGTAGCACAGAGCATTTTTCACCACAAAGGAAAAAAAAAACCCTTTATCCTACACAGAACTCCCCATCTGGTGAGTGACTGAAAAAGCCAAGAACAAGAGGTGGTTATAAGTTGTGGAAAACTTCTGCACGTAGAGATTAAAAAGGAACAAATTAAAATTCACTTGGGAGATCGTTGCAGGACACAGGTCCCAGGAGAGAAGGGTTTTGTAGGGGTGTGGGTCTGTGCTAGAGTTCACAGCTGAGGATCTAGAGAGCAGGGTCAGATGAAGAAAAAAGAAACTTTAATGCCCTCAGGGCCAGAGTCACGAGGCCTGGAGGGTTACACTCAAATGTTTTGTCTCATAATAACACCCAAAAGCAGTGCTGGAATTGCAGGACCTTGGGAACACTTGGCACTAAAAGTGACTCTGAGGTCACTGTCAGTGTGATCGTGTGTGAAATCCTGGCCTTACTGACACCACCATGAGTATTGCCATTGATTTCAGCAGGGTTAAAAATTCCCCACCTCTCTGGGGTTCAGCCTTTCCCCTTCCCAAACGTTTATTATTGTCAATTGATCCCAATCCACTGGATGTATTTCTGGCTCAAACCTGAGGTGACTGTTCCACACGATGAATCATAAGAGATATAAAATATATTCCCTAGTCCTTGTTGTACACGCTGTTCTAGGAAAGCATAGTAGCAGTGCTCGTCATCACATCCTTGATGGAAGTACTGAGGGACATACTTAGCTCCCAGCATGAGCAGCACTGCAAATATTCACATAAAGTCAGATAATTTCTTAAATGCCTGACTGAAATAGTGTCTGACTGAGAAGACCTTTAAGCCTGCACGTATCTGCAGAGGGACAGACGTTACGTCTTTGTAGGATGTCACCTGATAGTAGGTGAGTGACCTCGGATCATCTGATTCCTGAGGGAATGTCCTCGTGACTTGTGTTTTAGTAGGTAAAATGGGATCTTCGCTGCCTGTGGCTGTGCTATGTCCCTGTGCAGAGGGTTGTGGAAGGCAGCCACGGCAGCCAAAGTCACCGTGCTGTCATCTGTCTGGGGCTGTCGGACGGTCAGGTGACAGCCAGGACCACATTCCAGCTATAAATACACCACATTTTATTCATTGTGTGGAAGCACTTTCATCAATAGACCCCAATTTCTGTGGGTCTCGGGACACTCTGGGTTTCTCTTTGCTGAATATTCCAGATATTTTGTTCTGCCTCCAGCACCAGATTTATTCACTTCTCCTCCGACGCACCATTAGAAGGTCTCCTGTTTGGTGTCACTGCAGGAAGATGGATTGAACTGTAGTTTCAAGAGGGACTGAAAGCCAACTGTTCCTACAGCCAGGCCAGTGGGGCAGGCAGGAGATCTCCTTCCTATTTATAGTGGAAGTTCTATTTTAGCAAGTAGTAAAGAGCCTGGCAAGGAAAGTCAGGAGAAGGGCCTCGGAGAGACAGCTCTTTCCAGTTAAATTATTTAGCTTTCACATTTCCCGAGATCTTATGGGCTGAAACAAGACCATCTGTGTTCATATGCTACAGGGGGATCAAAAAGAAGAAAAAAAGAACAAGCATCTGGTGTGGAAAATCTCCCTGTGGTAGAAAATCTGACTCTAGTAGAAAACCTTACTGTGGTAGAAAACTTCCAAGGACTTGGATTATTAAAAAGGCCACTTGAAGAAATTTCCCCCCTGTCTCTTTGCAGAGGCAGACAACCATCTAGCCATGAAACAAACCTTTTGTCTCTCATCAATTTGCATTCACTTACATCAATGTACAGTCCCAAAAGTTTCCATTTATATAATGCATGGCGACATATAAATATTTCCATCACCTCCTGCCTGGGTGCCACTGCTGGGGACAATGTGGCTGCACAGGGGACTGGATTCCTCCTGCTTCTGACCTGTGTATCTGTGCCTGGGCTGGCATAAATGCAGTAACCAAAACCTGTCAGAGTATTTTCAGAAAGTTGAATCATACCCCTTTCCAGAGTATTCCAAAGGCTTCCAGAGAAAGGCTGGGTGGTTATTTAAGCCCCAGGTCACAGTAGCCCTCTCACCCCAGGTGAACTATCTGAGTTAGAAGCTTACAGTCGTGTACATGTGCAGCAGGCTGGAATGGGTGGATCTGCAAGCCAGTGTTGTCTTTAATGATCCTTTCCCTGATCCCCAAACAGGTGCTTGCACTGGAAAACAGGCAACTGCCCTCCCAGATTGGCTCAGAACAGATATGGCATTCTGGGTGGGTGAGGGAGAGGCAAACTTTTGGTGTCACTCTCACTGCATCTGATTCCACGCCCTGATCTGAGGGTTTGTTTGTGCTGTGGGACTCTATCACCTGGTTATTGCACAGGATTTGTATTTCATGAAGGAGGTTCTGGTAACAGTTTCACACATCCAAAGCTGGTGTCAGCACTGCCATCGGCTCACTGAGCAGCAGAGTAATGACAGGTTTAACGATGTGAACATCTGTATTCAGGCAGTGATGTCCCATCTCCTGTCTTCTTTTTACAGTCATTTTAAGTCAGCAGTTCCCGATGGGAGACGGAGGAGGGAGAGAAAAATCAGAACCATGTGCTGTATTCTAACCCCTCCTGGCCTGAGTGGGCGGCCAGGATTGCAGGTTGTGTGCTGGGGAGGTAAAGCACAGTCAGACAAAGTGGATATGCTGCAGTTAGACTCTCTGGGCAGAGAAAACTCCAAGCAGAGGTTCTATTTGTCCATAATTTCCTGTTCAGGTCCTTAAGAAAATAAAGAGAACATTTCTGGTGGGAGGCAGGATGGCAGTGGACAGGCTTTGTCATCGTGGTTTCCACATCCGTGAAGTCTTGGGCCCATAACGAGTGTCAAGGTGCCAGTACTGGACCTTTCACTGCCTCGTATCTGAGAGAGACCCCAGTAAGAGTCACCAAGCACAAGTGTCTCTCCTTCCTGCTGCCTCTTCTATGACCTCAACATGGCTTAAAATGAGAGGCACAACTTCCCCTCGTGCTCCAAGAGTGCCCCTTCACTCTGCTCTGGTGAGGCCTCACCCGCACTGCTGCCCCCAGCTCTGGAGTCCCCAGCACAGGAAGGACATGGAGCTGTTGGAGTGAGTCCAGAGGAGGCCACAAAGGTGATGAGAGGGCTGGAGCACCTCTGCTGTGAGGAAAGGCTGTGAGAATTGAGATTTTTGAGCCTGGAGACGAGAAGGCTCCCGGGAGACCTTAGAGCCCTTTCCAGTACCTAAAGAGGCTCCAAGAGAGCTGGAGAGGGACTTGGGACAAGGGCCTGGAGAGACAGGACAAGGGGGAATGGCTTCCCACTGCCAGAGGGCAGGGATAGATGGGATATTGGGAAGGAATTCCTGGCTGTGAGGGTGGGGAGGCCCTGGCACAGGTTACCCAGAGAAGCTGTGGCTGCCCCTGGATCCCTGGAAGTGTCCAAGGCCAGGTTGGACAGGGCTTGGAGCAACCTGGTCTAGTGGAAGGTGTCCCTGCCCATAGGAGGGGGATGGAATGAAATGGTCTTTAAGATCCCTTCCAAACCAAATAATTCTAGAATTCTGTGATTGCTACTAGTCTTGTAAGGTTTTTTTTTTTATTCTCCATCAATTCCATATGCTTCCACTCTCTCCTTTCTGAAGGCTTAGCAAAGCCAGCCAAGAATCCACATTTTCCAACTGTTGTAACTTTTGTAACTGTTTTGGATGCTGGAAAAGCAATACCCAAGGAAAGAGGCCAAAGCCAGCAAAAATGTGGCAGGTTTCAGGGCTGCTGATAAGATAGGAAGAGTATCTGTTTTTCTCAGCGGCCAAATCATAAATGACAGTTGAAATCAAGAAGTGATTTCTATTTTTATTCATCTTTTCTATCTACTTTACCTTGCTTTCGCCACATCTTTTTTGCATTAAAAAAAAAAAAAAGGAAGAACCTACTGCATGTACTGCCTGTGGAAAGCCAGGGATTGGGACATTTTTTCTGTGGAGCCTCTGTCAGTTAAACAAAGCAAATGCAGATATTGCAAGCACATTATCCCTCCCCCTTTATTGGTCACATCATGGCAAATGCTGGTGAGCAAGACTTTTGCCAAGTAGTTTTTCCTCGTTTTTGTGGTCTGCTCAAGCTCGTTTATCCCATCCAAACCAAACACTGTGCTTAGGAAAAACATCCCTCTGCCTTGTGACTTTCTCTGAGGGCCGTGCTGCTTCCCTTTTTCTCACATCCAGCTTTTTCTCTTTATGTGGCCTGTGGATGTTTCGTCTCATGGGGTGCTGGTGAACAATACCCATCTCTGTGTCTGTGCTCAGCATGAACAAAACACTCCGCTCCCACTGCCATAGGCCACTGCTCCTGCTTTTGGGGGCAGCCTCATCCTCTGACAAGCAGCTCAACCCCTTCATGGGTTCACTCCAACAGCTCAGCTTGAGAACTCTTTGCTCACAGCAGACAGGAGAAGCTCCTTGTTTTCACCTGCTGCCTGTCATAAACCAGTCGGTAGCGCTCGAGTGGAAGGATCCTTTGATTCGATGTGCATTCATTAGTGGGCTTCTCCAAGGATTTGATTCAGTCAAGGAAGCAGGAGCCTTTCCAGCAGCTTCTATGTGCTCTTGCTTTATTCATTTTACTCAGCTGTTGATACCTGCTGGCACCTTGAGCAGCTGCCCCCTTCACCCTGAAGATCATACAGTCTCAGAATCAGAGAATGGCTTGGGATGGAAAGGGTCTTAAAGATCACCCCATTTTGAACCCCTGCCACGGGCAGGGACACTTTCCACTAGACCAGGTTACTCCAAGCCCCTTCCAGCCTGGCCTTGAACACCTCCAGGGAAGGGAAGATGACTGGGGTCTTTCCTCTCTCCTTCACCCAACCTTGCTGTGGGTTTTCTTACACCCACACTGCAAAAATCAGAGCAGGTCCTTTGCAGCCACCCCCCCTCCAGTGCCCTGGAGGCACGAAACTGGTGGAGGAGGGATTTCCCCACACAGCACCCAGCCCTCCCACCACCCCCACTCCTGGGAGATGAGGTGAGGGAGCCCAGGAGGAAGGAGGGCTCCCCTGGGAGCTGGCAGGTACCAAGCTGGACCTCGGAGCCAGGGAACAGCAGGATAGGGAAATGCAAAGAGCAAGCACAACCACCATGAAAACAAACCTCCTTATGCTGCAGAGCAGCACAGATCACGAAAACCATCTCCAGACAGCCTGGTCCTTCCGAAGCCCACAGCAACTCATCAGGGCTACATTAGTGTGTGTAGAAAGACAGCTCAAGGCAGCAAATTTTGGAAATTCAAGCTTCCTTCTGGGTTGATTTCAGCCTGGGTTAATTGTTCTTTAAGATCTGGAATGGTTTTTGTGTCACAATTTGATTTGCACATAGTGATGCTTATTTATTTCAGATCATTCTTCCCCCCCCCTCCCTTTCAGCAACAACATACCTGGTGATCCAGAAACACCTGATCAAAATAAAACATATCTAGAACGTTCAGGAGGCTTTAATAGCTTTTAATGAATATGATTAGGTATAATTTAAAGGCATTAAACAGGACAGGGGATCACTGTGCTGGGTGTGGTGCCAAACAGAGAAGTGCAACCATGTTTGCTCCCTTAAATGTGCCAACTCTGAGGAGAAACTGAAAAAATCAAGGAAAATGAAGTGCTTTAGCATGTTGGCAGAGAGTAAAGTGAAGCACTGAATGATCAAATGGTTTATGGGAGGGCACATGGGGCTCTGGCAGAGCCTGGATGTGAATCTAGATCAGAAGGTGTCCCCAAGCCAGATAACTGCTGTTCCCTCTCTCACATCTGTCTCCAGGGCCCCTCTTAAGGAAGGAACGGGGAAAAATCACCGTGATGAAAACAGCACTGCAGGAAAGGGCTGATGGAAAGGTCTCATGTCTCCTGCAGCCTTGCTCCTGGCCCTCTTGGCAGGAGGAGAACGTTAATGCTGGAGAGAGAGATTAATGCACAGACCTTCCAGCCAGCTCGGGGGAGGCACAACTGTGTCCATGATCCACAAAAAGCGAGTTCAGACATGTGTCAGTACAGCTGAGCTGGCTGCATTTCTGTGTTGGATAAATACTGATTGATAAAAAGCTGCCAAGTGTTCAAATAACTGCCTTAGGAGCCTATTTTATTTTATTTTTTTTTGTTGGAGTTTGCTAGTTTTTCTGCAGCAAGACCATCCCAAGCATTTGGAACCCATCTGTGGTGACTGTGCATCCAACACTGTCCAAAAGGACGTGATGGAGGGATCAGAGATTTAAAATTCCTGTCCCCTGTGGCTCCTTACAAGCATCATTAAAAGCAGGCTTTTCAAACTGATCCTGTGATGCTGAGACACTGCTTTTTTCCCATCCCATCTCCACATTTTCACTTCCAGATTTGCCCTTTGGCAGAGAGAAATGCCCATGGAAAGGCAGCCCTGCATCACTGTTGGTAAAATGCTGATTTTTTTCATGTCATGCAACTTCTGTGAAACACCAGCAGGAAATAACACAGTGGGTGACTTTAGAAATCCATATAGAAATTGCAGTAATAGGGCTAATTACAAAAAAATCATCACTTATCTGGGTCTCACACACAAAACCTGTGCTTTTAAGACGTACCTTTGGTCTCTGCAGGAGTCTGATTCTTTAAATGAAAGAAAACAAACATACGAGCAATTAGAACCCTTCTTTTTGTGGAATGCTTTCTTCCTAAGATAATCAATGTCCTAAAGACACCGCGTACAGCATATAATAATGAGAAACACACAGAAGTCCTGAGGAACTGGAATTGCACCCGAATCCTTGCTCTGCAAAGAACACATAGCTTCTACATTGCAGTGTAGAAATCAGAATTTCTTGAAGGTCAATGACTACAGATAGAATTTTTTTTATTAGGCAATGTTAATTAGATTAAGGCTGGTCTAATCAAAGATGTGAGGAGTCAGCTTTGGCTCTGCTTGGCAGAGCAGAACCTGCTAATCCAAGTGCCACAGATGCTGAGACATTCCTTCATATGGCATGAGCCAAGTCCCGCGCGCTGCCAAGAGCTTCCTCTGAAATTCATGGGAACTGGGAGTGTGTGGCACCTGGCAAGACCAAGCTTGCTGTAAAAACCCTTTGGAAAGGACATGATTTGCATACCAGGACCTGGTGTAGTAAACTGACTGTGGCCTCAGCTTTACTGTTTTCCAGCACGAGCCGACATCGGGATCGTGGTGTAGGAAAGCTTGTAAACCAGGGTGGGGAGTCTGCAGCCTGAGGATTTACAGGCTGGAATGTCATTCATACAGCCCTGGTCACGTGACTCCCTCTTCCATGGTTTTACAATAAAATCTTGGCTGATGTGTTAGTAAGGCCTATTTTGCCCTGAGAAAGGAAGAGATTCCCCACCACTGTTGCTGAGAAACATCAGATCCATTGCACAACTCTGCTGGGAAACATGCAGAGGAGCCCAGCAGCTACTGAGCCAGCCTGTGCCTAGACTTGGCGTTGACTTGGAGAGTACTGCAAGAGAATTGAACTCGATAAACCTTCACACTTAGTTCAGACAGCGAATGAAAAGAGGCACATTTTCCCTCTTCCACCTGTGAGTGCCAAAGTTTTAAGCTCCAAAGTCAAGATGCCCAAAGCCAAACTTGCTGATTCTCCCTGTACTTGGCACCTCAAATTCTAAGTTCAGTTTTGGGTCCCTCAATTCAGGAAGGACATTGAGGAGCTGAAGGGTTTCCAGAGAGGGGCAATGGAGGTGGGGAAGGGCCTGGAGCACATGTCTGATGAAGAGTTGCAGAGGGAGCTGGGGGGACTCAGCCTGGAGAAAAGGAGGCTCAGGGGGGGACCTTCTGGCTCTGCAACTCCCTGAATGGAGGGTGGAGCCAGGGGAAGTCAGGTTCTGCTCTCAGGGAACACAGGACAGGATGCTAGGAAACAGCCTCAAGGTACACCAGGGGATGTTTGGTTGGATATTAGGGAAAACTCTTCATGGAAAGGGTGGTCCAGCCCTTGCACAGGCTGCCCAAGGCAGTGCTGGAGTCCCCATCCCTGGAGGGATTTAAAAACCACGTGGATGTTGCACTTGGGGACATGAGTCAGTGGTGGCCTTGGCAGTGCTGGGGGAACAGCTGGATTCCATGATCTTGGAGAGCTTTTACAACCTTAATGATTCCAGGATTACTCTGGATCGCCTGAAGGAAACCTGTGTGTCCCGCTGGTGTTCTGCTCTCCCTTGCCTTGTGCAGCAGCAGCTGCAGGAGGGATATTGGAGCTGGGATGTGCAGCCGTGCTGGAGAGAGGGCTTCAGCCTGTCCAGCCGGCTGTATCAAAGGGATTGAGTCAGCTCCATGTGGATTTGGGGTCTGTTTTGTGTGCTCCCTGCCAGGAGATCTGGGAGGGCAGCACACTGGTTAAGAGCTGCCAGAAGGGCATGGGAGGCAGACAAGAATCCTGCCAAAAACCTGTGCCAGCTGGGAGTGGGGGGAATGTGCTGCTGCAATGAGAGGCCTGGTCTGGGTCGATCATCACAGGGGAGCTTGAAGTGACTCCATTCAGGAGCATCCTAAATGCTCCTGGTTTAGGAGCATTTACCTGGGGGGGGAGATAAAACTGAGGGCTCTGCAGGCTGGGAGATGCTGCTGCCATGGGATAAAACAAAGGGGAAGCAGCAGTGTAACATATTTATGGTGAGACATTGGCACAGGTTGCCCAGAGAAGCTGTGGCTGCCCCATCCCTGGAAGTGTTCCAGGCCAGGTTGGACGGGCTTGGAGCAACCTGGTCTAGTGGTGATTCTGTCTGGGAAGTGGTGGACTCATCATCCCTGGAAGAGTTCAAGAAACATGTGGATGTGGTGTATGAGGCTAGAGTTGAGTGGTGAGCTTGGCAGTGCTGGGGGAATGGTTGGACTTGATGGGATCCAAGGCCTTTCCCAGTGTTAATGATTCCATGATTCCATGCTGTGGGCTGTCTGCTGTTGGCGGGAATGGGAGCACTCCTGGGCAGAGGGAAAGGCTGCAGCATGTCCCTCCTGCAGCCTTGGCTGAAATGAGCCAGTGGGGCTCCTGGGTGCTGGGAAGCAGGATCTGGAAGTGAAAATGAAAGGGAAACTCTGGGAAGTGGCAGGAGAAGGGGCAGCGTGAGAGCATCACTGCAAAACCCAGCGAGGCAAAGCACAGCAGGCAACAGGCTGGGATGTGCTTGGATGTTCCTCAGAGAAGGATCCTTGTGCTGCAAGATGTTCCACAGCCACCCCTGTAGGCACCCTGATCCCTGATTGCAGCATGTCTCTTAAATTTGCACTGGAAGTCAGGGGGTCAGAGGCTGGCAGAGGAGCTCTGTTCTCAGGGCACACGCAGTGCCAGCTGTGCTTGCAGTCTCGAGAGCTGCCCCAGCGTGGCTTTGCCCCACAGGCTGATGAGTGCCCCTTGCCCTGCCCCTCTCCAAAGTGCAATGGGACACAAGGAGTGAAAGGACCACAGAGAGCCAGAGGGAGACATTTGTGCCTCCCTTCCCTGAGAACTCCTTGGGAAGCAGTTTCCCGGAGAAGCAAGTCCTTTGCCTCCCCAGGGATGACCCAACTCTATAGCTTTCTTGAGGAACACCAGCACACCCTTAAGCAAGATCTTGGAAGTGCACAGTGTTGTGCAAGTGGCCCTTCAGTGCCCCTTTGCAGCCTGAAGTGCCCGTGTCCCAGGGTGTGTGTGCCCACGGCTCAAGGGGCAAAAGAGAGGCAGGAGCGGGCCCGTGAGCTGCAGGGCTGAGGGTTTGTGCCCTTTCAGTTGCACCAAGACACAGATAAGGGGGAGAAAACGAATGTTTATTATTGTGAGGGCAAGGAGAGGGATGAAGTGGGGTCAGGAGAAGGGAATGGAAGGGAGGGAGCCGTCCATGGGGCTGCAGAGGCCAGGAGCTGCCTGGCCTTGTGGGCTGGCTCAGTTGGGCCCAGCATCAGCTGGAGCTGCAGCCCCGCTGAGAAGTGGTCCCTGGGCTGTTGCGGGGCTGTTGCCAGGACATCAGTTCTCTCAGCGGAGCAGGTGGAGTTCTCATGGCACGGCTGTAAGTGGCCACGAGTGCAGCTCTGATGTTGGAGACGGAGGGGCAGTCGTCCTCGCTCATGGCTGTAAGGCCTGGAAGAGAGAGGAAGGGAGCCGGGGTCAGAGCGCGGCTGTGCAGGGACCCCAGGAGCCCCTCCTGCCAGGGCCATGCCGGACAGCTCTTGGCACGGCCAGGAGGGAGCAGGGGCCAAGAGGATGAGCAGGAAGGTGTTGGGCACCAATGGGCACCCTGCCCATGCCATGTGTGTGTGCTCTGGCCACGGTGTGCAGGGAGCAGAGCCCTGTGCAGGCAGGGCAGGGATTACAGCTCCCTGCCCAGGGTGTGTGCTGGTCCCCGGCAGCCCCCAGGGAGGCCCCGCTGCCCTCACTCACCCTTGAGGATGGGCCACAGGTCTTGCTGCCGCTCCCTCATGTGCCAGCCGGCCACCCCTGGGAACAGAGAGGCTGTCAGGGCCCCAGGGGCTCCGCATCGGGAGGCCCCGGGGCTGGGCTGGCAGAGGGCTCCCCAGCACATCCCTGGGCTGCATCCTGCTGCCGCTGCAGCAGCTGGGGCTGGGGCCGAGCTGCAGCAGGGCGGGGAGGGACCGCGGCCTTGGGGCTCACCCATGAACCTGACGGCCGCCTCTCGCAGGGGCTCCTGTGGGCTCTGCAGGTAGGGCAGGGCCTGGTGCAGGTGCTCGCCCCTTCGGCTCACATCCTTTTCCATCTGCAGAGAGTAGGGGGGTGTCTGTGGTTGCAGCAGTGGGCAGCAGTGCACAGGGCCAGCCCCGCACACTGGGCATCAGGGGCTGGGGGCTTCTCCAGCCTGGGGCTGGGCCTTTGCACTCATCCTTACCAGGTAGTCACGGAACCTGAAGGGCTGCCCTATCTTCAGCAGCTGCTCCAGGTCCTTCCTCTTGAGGAAGCTTGCAGCCCAGAGCAGCGCTTCCCGAGCGGCCTGCAGAGCAGCAGAGAGCGGGACATGGCACCGCAGCCCAGGGCACAGCCCCTGTGTCCCTGCTCCAAGGCCAGCAGGAGGCTGGAGCCCTTGAGGCCCCAGGGCAGGAGGCAGCCCAGCCCCTGCCACGGGGACACCAGAGCCCAGCAGTGCTCACCTCTGCCACGCGCTGGTTCTCGTCGTGCCAGCGGAAGAACAGTGGGACCAGGCTCTGGCGCACCTGCATCTCCCAGGGCTCTGTTCCCTCTTCCGCCAGCAAGTCCATCACCTCTCGGAAGAGGCGAATGGAGAGCAGCTGCACGTGGCTGTTGTCCTGGGGCCCAAGAAGAGACAAAGACCTCAGCACTGCCTGCTCCAGGCCCAGGCCTGAAAATCCACCAAGTTTTCTGGTAGCACCCAGTGCCTATGGCTGGGGCCACAGAGCCTTACGTTGTCAAAGACTGGCCGGAGCGCCTCAGCCAGCCTCGGGGCAGTGGAGCTGAGTCCCTCCCTGTCTTCCTCATCCTGGAGCACATTCAGGAACGTGGAGAGGGTCATGGCGACCAGTTCTCCATCTCCATCCCGCAGCAGCTCCAGGAGGTGCTCAGACAGGCTGCAGATGCCTTTGGCCTGTGTGGAACAGAAGGCTGTGCTGGGAAGCCCTGAACAGCTGTCCCACCAACCCCACTCTGGCAGTGCAAGCCCACACTGCTGCTCTGGGGCCCAGAGGCCAAAGGCCTGTCCCACAGGGACAGTGGGCCTGTCCCCACATTCAACAACAGCACCAGCTTAGTCATCTTTAAGCTGCTTGATCTTATGCTTATGGGGCTCAATTTCTTTTTTGCAGCTGCTCAGTCTCTTTCTGGTGGTGATGGGTCTCTTCCTCGTGGTGTTTCCGTAAGTCAGAGAGCTGCTCCTGCTCCTTCTCTCTGAAGTACCACTCCTCCTCGGCTACTGGCTTCTTCCCGAATGTGCCGCTGGCATCGCAGGTGAAGAGGGAGGCAGGAGAGCTGGGAGCAGCTGCCACAGCTCCTGAAGCCCAGCCAAGGCCAAGCCACTGCCCTCCCCAGCCCCAGGCTGCCCATGTGGCTTCAGCCCCTGCCCCCTTCTCACCATTGAGGAATCCCCACTGAGCACCAGGAGCCCTCGCAGAGCCAGGCGCCGCCTCTCTGGGCACTGGCTCTGCAGGTGCCTTGCCAGCATCTGCAGGACACTGTGGTGACAGGTGCTCACATCCAGACAGTCGAGGACCTGGAAGGCAGAGAGCAGTGCCGGGGTGTGCGGGCGGCAGGAGCGCGGAGCCGTCCAGGGCTGGGCCCAGGCAGCAGCACAGGGCGCAGGCACCGTCCCGGGCAGCTGCGGCTGCCAGAGGGCAGAGAGGGGGAGGCAGCGGGGCCAGGCAGCGCTGGCCATCGGGCTCACCTCGACAAGGAAGGCCAGGGCAGGCAGCTCCCAGCGGGGCCCCTCCCTGCTGAGCAGCCCCAGCAGGTGCCTTGCCAGCAGGCCATAGGAGGGGCCCAACACGCGGCGCATCTCCCTGTCAGGGCAAAAAGAGAACCCTCAGCCTGAGTCGGGTGGGCAAAGCTCTGCCAGCACTGGCTGGGCCGTCCGTTGGGGCCAAGGCCCTCTGTCCCACGCCCAGGGGGGCTGTGTGGGCTGCCCCGTGCCCAGGGCAGAGATGCCGGGGGCAGCAGGGACAAGGCTGTCTCACCTGGCCAGCAGCCCCACCGCGTAGTGGTGGGTGTCAGCAGAGAGGAGCGCGTCCCAGCCACGCTTGCGCTCCACTGACACCAGCACCTGGTCCCGCTGCAGCCGGCAGAGCAGGACCCGGATGGTCTGGACCACAAAGCTGTGTGCAGAGCAAAGGCCACGTCAGGCTGGGAGCCCTGGCCCCAGTCCCCAGGGCACGGCAGGGAGAGGGGACGGGCATGGAGCACCTGTTGGGGTGGGTGGGAAGGCCGTGTTGCTCCTGGCATCCCCTCCAGAAGGTGCTGACCTCCTCTGGCATCTGCTCTGTGCTCATAGAAGCTTGGCAGAGCAGAGCCAGGAGGAGAAGAGGGGCATAAACCAAGAGTGCATCTTGGCACTGGGGCTCCTGGACCATCAGCCACAGGGCCAGGGTTGCCTGCAAGAAAGCCACATGGAAACACCATCAGTGCCCAGAGGGAGGGAGAGGCCAGGGAGAGCCAGGGGGAGCAGCCGGCCTGCTGCCCCTGAACCTGCCCCTCAGCCCCATTTGCAGCCCAAGGCCTGAGGGAGATGCAGAGGTGGGGGAGGATGGAGAGTCGCTGGAGAAACTCACAGCCAGGGCAAAGACGTCCACGTGGTCCCCGTTGGAGGTGGACACGCTGTGCAGTGGCCAGTCCTCCATCACCCCGAGCAGCGTTGGCAGCACCTTGTGCGCTGTGGTGGCCGAGGAGGCGATGGTCCTCCACAGGATTGCAGCAGCTCTGTGGAGCCAGAACTCTGGGTCAGGGGGGTCTGGGCCTTGGGAGCTGTGGGGGCCCAGGTGACAGAGCCACGGTGCATTGAGGAGCCAGGGGGGAGCACGGCAGCAGGATCAGGGACTGCCATGCCAGGGCTGGGAAGCGGAGGGGCCAGAGGGTGCTGAAACTGTCCATCTGTCTGTCAGAGCAGGAGGGACAGGCTGGATGGGGTGCTGGGTTGTAAAGGCTGGTGAGCCCTGAGGCAGCAAAGCAGCTGGGCCCTGTACCTGTCACACGCTGGGGCACAGTGCAGGAGAGTTGTCACCACGTGCCCAGGGTGTGCGTGGGCCAGCCTGCAGATGGCAATGGGCGGCCTGACCTCTGGAGACTCCTGGCACATGAGCCACTGGTGGATGGATCTGACAATGGCTGGCACCTGGAGGGGAGTGGGGGACAGTTGGAGAGCTGCCAGAGCCAGCAGGTTGCCCAGCTTGCCGTGGGAAGGGCTTCTCTTCCCACCACACTGTGCTGGCCTCAAAGGCTCAGAGGGCTACAAGACCCCTGGGCAGCTCAAGCCCTGGCCATAGGCTGCTTACTTCATTTGGATTGGAGATGGTTTTCTCCTCCAAAACACCCAGACTGGGAACATCAGTCACACTGTGCATGGGCGTGCAGTCAGTGTTTGTGATGCCCTCACTTGTGGTGTCGGCCTTCGCCCTGATATCAGTTGGTGCCGTGTCAGATCTTGTCTCGGTGTCAGTCGGTGCAGTGTCACAGGTGGCTGTGCCATCCATCAGTGCCATGTCACAGATTTCTCTACTGTCAGTCGGTGCCATGTCAGAAGTGTCAGTGCCATTAAGAGTTGCCATGTCACAGTTGGCTGTGCAATCAATGGCTGCCATGTTGGTGGTGTCTGTGCCATCAGCTGTTGCCACATCCGAGGTTGCTGTGCCATCCATGGGTGCCATGTCATGATATGCTGCACAGTCACTCGGTGCAGTGCTGCCATCAGGCTCCGCCTCGAGCTCGGCTGCGCTGGTGTCAGGCTGTGCCGTGAGCTTGGGCGGTGCGGTCGTGGCTCTTCTGCGCCGAACACCCATGAATTTCAGCAACCTCTGCAGGAGAAGAAAGGGCAGGGAAGAGAGGGAAGTGGCATGGAGTGCTCTGACAGCGGTGCCAGGCGGAGCAGGGACAGCAGGCCCAGCCCAGGGGGGGATGGCTGCAGGTACCTGAACTGCCCTGCGCAAGCGGCCACGGGCGCGGTCCTGCTCTTCTGGGCGGTCCCGGCCTGGATCTGGCAAAGAGCGAGCGCAGTCAGAGCTGAGGGGCCATGGGAGAGGCCAGAGAACACAGCCAGCCCTGCACTCCACAGGCAGGGCCAGCCCTGGGATGCCCAGGGAATGGAGCACGGATGCCGGGGGGATCAGCCTTGGACCCCTTTTCCCCTCCCTTTCCCTGGGCATGTCCAGAGGGAACGGGAAGGGACCCAGCTCCAGCACTCACCCTGCTGCAGTGGCTGGAAGTGCTGCACCTCCTCCTCCGGTTCCTGTGCTGGGCCAGCTCCAGGGCCTCTCCTGTTCTTCCTCTTCCCCCGGAGCAGCCGGCACAGGCCGAAGCATCCCCCCGCCATGGCACAGTCTGGTCTTGAGGGCACCTGCGGGAGAGAAACCTGGGAAAAACCCCTGGCGGCCAAGTGTGACACAATGGCCTGCGGGGCTCCTGCCACAGGGACTGGGGATGGCTTGGAAAAGCCCCTGGTGGCAAAGTCTCAAAAAATGGCCTCTAGGGCCACTGCCACAGGGACTGGGGATGAATAGCAAAAGCCCCTGGTGGCAAAGGCTCAACAAATGGCCTTAAGGGCCACTGCCACAGGGGCTGCTGATGGCTTGGAAAAGCCCCTGGTGGCAAACTCCCAACAAATGGCCTCAAGGGCCACTGCCACAGCCACTGGTGACTCCTCGGAAAAGCTCCGGGTCACCAAGGCCCGTGGCCTGGCCTCGAGGGCCACTCCCACAGGGAGTGGGGTCACCTCAGAAATGCTCCGGGTCCTCAACTCCTGTGCTGTGGCCTCGAGGGAAGATGATCCAAAAAGAACTCTCGAAAACGCTCCTGGTTGACGAGAAAGGAGTTGGCTGCGAGGAGGCTCCTCACAGCACCGCTCTGTCCCGTCCTGCCCAGTCGCCCGCTCCGAGCACGGTGGCGTGGCCGCGTTGCCGCCAACACCTTTATCACCACGGGTCACAAAGGACACCGTCCCATCCCCGGGGCGATGGCCACCGTGTCACAAAGGGCTCTGTGACACACTGCCATGTGCCCTGGGGCCTCCCCCAGCCTGGCCAACCTGCCCCAGCTTGGAAGGAATCCATTCCCAAAAGTAGCTGCAGCCATTGGGGGCAAGGCTTGGCATCTGTGCCAAGGCAGAAGCTGTGGCTCCTTCCTGGTACAATTTCTTCATGGAAGTCATGACCTGCAGCACAAAACCAGCTTGGCTGGCAAGGCCCAGAAAAATGTGACATTTAATCCTCCTAAATTCAGGAAAGCCAGACTTCCCATTCCTCAACACAAGGAGCTGAAAGAAGTTGCAAACTTCCCAATGTCACTGAATTGGAGGACCTGAGAATGTCAAGTATTTGGAAGTTTGCTTCCCATCTCAAACCTGCAGCTCATTTGCCTTCATGTGATCCACTGAGAGTCAACTTCAAAACATGAACAGAGGCAAAAGATCTGGGCATTGATTGGTTTGCAAATGGTTTTCTATTAAGGCATAATAATATGAATATTCAAACCTGAGAAAAATAAAACTACTCAGAATGATCAAAGCTGAGGCTAAAATGCATTTCAGAAGGAACAGTAACACCCTCACCCCACATACACCTCTCAGCACCTTCTGGCTCTGCAACTCCCTGACTGCAGGGGGGAACCGGGGTGTTGAGCTCTGCTTCCGGGGAACAAGGGGCACAAGGAGAGGAAACAGCCTCAAGTTACACCAGGGGACGTTTAGGTTGGCTATTAGGGAAAATTTTTCATGGAAAGGATTTTTCAACCCTGGCACAGGTGCCCAGGGCAGTGGTGGATTCACCACCCCTGCAGGGATTTAAAAGCTGTGTGGATTTTGCACTTGGGGACATGGGTCAGTGGTGGACGTGGCAGTGCTGGTACAGGTTGGACTCGATGGTCTTAGAGGGCTTTTCCAACCTTAATGATTCTGTGATTCCATCTTCACAGAGAATCCTCACAGTTCACCAGCACCTCAGCCATGTATAAATGTAGCTCAGATGTTGCTGGTCCTGTGGTGGTGGTTGGGAATCCCAGAAGAGGATGAGGTCTCATGGCCAAGACTGATGGTAGAAGAAGAAACCCTAAAGGGCAGAACTGCCTTGCAAATATTTTTGCCAGTATTTTGTGTTTTGAAGCTCATGCCTTCAGGTATTTTCCTGAAGACAAATTCACCAGTGTTGTCATGAGGATTTATTTAGTCATTCCTGCAGCAAAATACTGCTACAAACCTTGCTTACCTGGCAGCTGAGCTCCTTTCTTGCTGGTGATTCTTATCTCTGACTTGAGCAAAGCACATGAAATATGCTTTCATCTGACTGGGAAGCAGGATAGAAGGATAAGAAGACATAAGAAGGGACTTGTTTGCCAGTGGGATATGCAAAGATTATGGGAACGTTGCATCAGTCCTGCACAACAGCAAGGTGGCTGATGGAGCCTCTGAGAGGCAATAATCAGGACTCACCTCAAAATATATGGTGCACCTCATGTGCATTTTGTTGTGGCTGAGCCTCTGGCACTTTTTTTGTGTGTGTATGTTTTGTTTATACACAAAACCCCAAACCAAAAGCAACCAACCAGACAAAAAAAACCCAAACAACCCAGGCCCCCAAAAGTGTTTATGATGTTCTAATGTTATGTGAATTTTTCTGTTACCTCACCTACTCCAGCTCCTATGAGCTGGACAATGAAATTTCATAGAATTCTGTGACTTGGAAGGGACCCACAAGGATCATCGAGTCCAATTCCTGGCCCTGCACAGGACACCCCAACAATCCCACCATATGCCTGAGAGGCTTGTCCAAATGCTGCTTGAGCTCCGTCAGGCTTGGGGCTGTGACCACTGCCCTGGGGAGCCTGTTCAGTGCCTGACTGCTCTCTCTGGATGAAGAAATTTGACCTAGTTCTGAAGGCATGCAACCCAGTCTTGCTCTCTTTGGCATTAGAAGTAAATTTAAGCAACCTCTTCTCTCCTTACCCATTTACTGCTCTATTTCAGCCTGTAAGTCCCATTAATTTTGTTTTTTGCAGATCCCAGTTTTACGAGGGAAAATGTTTGGATTTTATTGCTATCATATGCTGTGAAGGTTTGACTCAATATCTACTCTAAACGAGAAAAGTGTATAAAAAGAAAGTGGCCCTTTCTGATCCGAGGACCTTGCACAACACATGAACATTTTGTAACAGCAGCTGGTCCAAGGGTCCTACTGGGACATGAGATCCTGGCTTTGCTTTTGAGAAGAAATTCTTGCTTGTGAGGGCAGTGAGGCCCTGGCAGAGGTTGACCAGAAAAGTTGTGGCAGCCCTATCCCTGGAAGTGTTCCAAGCCAGGCTGGACAGGGCTTGGGGCAACCTGGTCTAGTGGAAGGTGTCTCTGCCCGTGGCACGGGGTGGAATGAAATAGTATTTAAGGTCCCTTCTAAATGAGCCTTATTTTATGCGCAGAGCAGCCCCATGAGCATCTGTAAGTCCTGCTGACACACTGAATCACATTGGAAAAAAAACCTTGGTCCTGTTTCAAAACCAGCCAAACTCCCATCATCTTCCCTGGGGCCAAGATGTTACCCTGGGACTCTCTGTACCACAAGCTGTTCTGTGCAGATGGACTCTGATCCTCTTCAAAGCTTCACTGGATTTCCTGGGGCTGCAGATGGCTCGGGGATCTCCTGCACGGAGCAGGGCTGGAGCAAGTGCTCAGAGGAAAGAGACAACAGAGCCACCAGCTTGGAGGGACTGCCATATGCTGTAGCTGGACCAGCTTTGCAGATCCTACAGCCTTCTGGAGCTTTCTTCTGGGGTGGTGGGCCAGAAGGTGTCAACCAGGAGTCCGAGGAAGACAGCAGCAAAGTTCAAACCTGAGTGTGCTGCTAAACACTGCTTAAAATTCCTGGAGGTTTCAAGGACAAAGAGTGATGTTAAACACCTCCCCTCCCTTGGAGTCCACCTTTTCCTAAGGTCACTGTTTTCCAAACGACGGAAAACCAAGTATCCTCTCTAATGTGTGGTGAGAAGGTCAAACCCACTGCAATTTGGGAATATGATGCTTTTGACCAGGGCTTTCCCGAGGAAAACACTTCCCATAAATTTTCGACATTTCCAATCCTGGAAAAGTACTGCTTGGGCCACGAACAGTGGTAATCAGAAGGGGAAAAAAATAGGGAGATGTCTCATATGACCACGAGATGGCAGCTGGAGCCCGGGAAGTTCTTTGTGGACACAGTAGCTCCCATGGAAAACGGAGTCCTTTGCCAACCCAGTCTGCATTTGGGAATATGCACCTGCACTGCGTTGGCTTTGAAGATTTCGTGTGCGTGCTCTGAGTGGGAGAGCTCTGGAATATCTGATTACCCCTTTCATTTCCCAGCTCCTCTGGGCCTTCCTCGATTAGTCAGTATCAAATAAATGGTTTTAACCAATGTAATCCCTGTTGATAGGAAAACAGCAGTGCACCTGGTTTAACATGGCTGTTAGGATCCAGGCTGCTCCGACACCTAATTCAGCAGTGATCCGGAGCCAGATGCTCTGCCCTCCTCATGCCATGACTGCTCCTGTCTGCAATTTCTCCTCGAGCTGGACTTTAAAAGGCTAATTGTGCATGTTGTTAATCACTGATTGTGTTTCATTCCAGAGGAGACCACATTTCAGCAGCACTTTAAGCAAGCCCTTGGATGCCCTTCATCCCCGCAATGCAATTTGGATGGGCTCTGCAAAGCTCTGGCCTGTGGAGGTGCCCCTTCCAAGGTTTGGGAGAGGATTCACAAGCAGTTCAACAGCTCTTGATGCAGGCAGGGTGAGGCCTGAGGCTTCTCAGTCTTGTTTAGATCCTCACAGGGACCAGAGAAATGTGAACTGGAAAGCGGCACTTTAGGGCAGAAATTAATTATCCTGGTACAATGAAGGAATGTTCATTTACATACATGGATTTTCAGACTGTGGAAGAAGCACATGCAGTGGTCAAGGTAGTAATTTGGAAATCCTGCTGGGAAGCCATTTGGTTTGGAGCCAGCCTACATGAGAACTGTCAGTGCATTTGGCTGCTTTCCCCAGAAGTGACAGCGTGGTACGTTCCATCCCCACCTTTCCCAGCTGCTCTGCATATGCCAACGCTGCACGGGAATCCTGCCCTTTGCATAGTGGAAAATATGCTATAATTTCCATATTTCTGCCTGTGGAGATCTTCACATGATGTCCAGCCATCACCGCCCATCTTCACTCTGTTCCACCTCTGTAATTCCCTATTGAACCATTGTTTTCCCAGCTGGGGAGTTGATCATCACGACACAAACTGCTGCAGCGCCGAGCAATTTTCTCAGCTGAGCCAGGTAACAGCACCTGCCCCTTCAGAACCACTTTAAAGAACAAAAGAAATTGGTGTTCAGTTTATAATTCATCTTATTGTGGCACTCTGAGGTGCTGGTTGGCACAACTGAAGCCAGAGGAAGATGGCATGATTCCCCCAAACTAGGACAGACCCACCCCCCTAAAGCCTGATACCTCTCAAGATGACCACGTTGCCCATGATAGCTCATGCCAGAAAAAAACATACCTGCTCCTCTCCTACCTTGCTTTTACCTGCCATGAGGAGACAGTTGGTAGGAGCTGTCACGCTTCTTGCAGCAGCAGGAGGGGATTTCTTGGCAATTGGGAAGTGATAGGAAACAGTCACTTTGGGAATGCTGAGCAGAACAAGGAGAAAATTGTTATCAGCCTTGGAAAAAGGTGAAGCAACATCACAGTGATTTCTGTGCTTCTTGAACAGTTTGGTTTGTGGGAAGGGAACTGCCACCACTCTGAGTGAATTTGTTTCCTCTTTCCAAAGAGCATAAGCTGATTTTATAGGACAGGGGAACACAGCTGGTTCAGAGCTGTTGGCTTCTCTTTTCCCTGACCTATCGTGAGTTATTTACAAAGGTTTAGACCAAGTTAAAGCAAAGCTGAATTTCGGAGCCTGTGGGTTAATATCTTGCAGCTGCTTTTCTGAGGCCTGATCCAAGGACCAACAATGTTACCAGGCACCTTCCCTCTGACATCAGGGGGCATTAGGATGGGATTTATGCATTTGGCAGAGGTTTTCTAATAACTTATTTAAACACTGGAGAGAGCAGCAGTGATTCAAGTCAGGCTGAAGGTTCAAGTTTAGCACTGGAGTGCCAAGTCTTGTGGGTTTGCATGTGTTTGGAAATGGGGCACTAACCTTGTGAGTGATAGAGATCTCATGAGGGGGGGACAATTCCCACCCTATTCTCCCCTCATTTTCAAAGCTGTTGCATCCTGATGACACCCTCTTGCTGTCCCCAGCGCTCTCTGGGTTCTCAGAAGCCAGGTCATAGAATCATAGAATGGTTTGTGTTAGAAAAGACCTTAAAGATCATCTCATTCTATCCCCCTGCCATGGGCAGGGACACCTTCCACTTGAATAGGTTGCTCCAAGACCTGTCCAACCTGGCCTGGAACATTTCCAGAGATGGGGCAGCCACAGCTTCTCTGAGCATTCTGTGCCAGGGCCTCACCACCCTCACAGGGAAAGATTTCTTCCTAATTGGTCATGCACTGATGGATTCACACTGCTCCTGTCCCACTGCTTTTTGAGCATTATCTACAACCAGGAAGCCAAGTGTCCATGGATGCAGTCAAACATCTGCTTCTGGAGATGATTCACCTGTGCAATGTGATGCACTGGGTCTGTGTGTCTCGATATGAAGCTGGTTCTGCAGCCAGGATGGGATACCAATTGATGTCTCATGCAGTATAATGAGGGAATTAAAAAACCAGGAAAGTGACCTTACAGATCACATCAGGGATCATGAACTCCAAAGCCTGAAAGCCAGGAGGTGGGTAAGGAATCACAGAATCATTTAAGTTGAAAAATCCTTCTAAGATCATGGAGTTCAGCCATTTCCCCAGCACTGCCAAAGCCACTGCTGACCCATCTCCCTAAGTGCCACATCTACAGGAAGATGAAAGGAGACATTGAGAAAAGTTAACCAACATCATCTCTTGGTCATTGCAGAGGGCAGTGTCTCCCTGCAGCAGAGCTGTTTACAGGCTCCAGTGATGTCCCTGGGAATTGCCAGGCAGTGCCTGCTGTGGGATGGGGCACAGGAAAGGGAATGGGCCTTTTCTCTCCTAAAAATTACAGATCTTCTGAGCCTTTGGGGTCTCCCTCAGCATCTCCTAAGCCCTCCCACAGTGCAGATGCAGTGAGAGGATCAGTGGGAAGAGGTGTGGGCTGTCATGTCCCAATTATACCCTCTGCTAGAGAGGACCCAGTGTGAGACTGCTAGAGTTCTTAATGGAAGTGGAGCTGGAACTCAGTGATCTTTGAAGTCTCTTCCAACCCAAACCATTCTATGATTCTATGATCCTTTTTGCTTTCCTGTCCTGGCAGCATGGATTTGGCAAACCAGTGGATGAAAACTTGGAAGATCCCCTGGTTTTAATGCTCCTTGAGCATGTAAAGAGCAGCTCCTTCATGCAACCTGCTCTCTTGAAGCTGTTGGGGCAGGGCAGCTGAGTTCTTTTCAGGGATGAGCACCAGTCTCTTGTTGGGATGTTGCTTCTGCAGCCTGGCCAAGGGAAGCACTTGCACAACTGCCAGCCCATCCCTTGGCCTGGCTGGGCCACAGCTGGGCTGCCATGGGTCCTGCCTAACCAGGGGTGGGCTCACAGCTGTGCCCCAGTTGAGTGGAGAACTTGGGATCATAAACAGCTGAAAACTGGGACATCCCTGAGGGGTTCTTTCCATAGTCATCCCCAGCCACAAATACCGGGGCTGTGATTTCTAAATCCCAGCCTCCAGATTTCTTTCTGGCAGATGTCTGCATCCTTTTCTCACTGCACTCCTTCAGTTTCACAGTGCCCCTTCCCAAATTCCTGTGCACAGCATGAGATGACCTTGTAGATCCAGGGCCTGCAGTGAGCAGGCTTATGTCACCCAAAGCAAGAGGCTGCTGAGAACAAGAGGTATAAAAGGCCAGGCTGGATGGAGCTTGGAGCAGCATGGTCCTAGAGTATTTTCCCTGCCCTGGCAGGGGGTTGGAATGAGATGAACTTTAAGATTCCTTCCAATCTAAACCATTTTATGAAAGAGAGTCATTTCCATCCTCGGGAAACTGGACCAGTGGATTTCTTGTCCGAAGATGTGCCCATTCATGCCACTTCCTTATCTCTTTCCAGCAACAATAAAGATAAATCAGTGTTTTCTCAGCAGTGCCCATATCCGGAGCGAGGAAACTGCAGCGGTGTCACGGTCCCTTCAGCCTTTGGAGGAGAGTGCACTCCTGCCATCTCATGGACATCTCGTGAACAAGGAGGAATTTCTCAACAGGAAGAGGGGATTATGATGAATTTTTCTTCAAATCTAGTTCAACAGCCGAGAATTTAGCTAAGTATTAAACAGATTAATTTTTTTTTGCCTTTTTGCAGGCTTTTGATTGTGCAGTTTTCATAATGAGCTCAATGTGGTTGTTTCCGATTTGGCCCCGTAGCATCTGGCAGGGAGCCTCCGCCTGAATGTGAGTCTTGCTGCATCCAGATTTGATTCCTTTTCCTTGGCACGGCTTTCCCTCCTGCTGATGGAAGCTTTAAAGAAAAAAAAAAAATACCATGACATCTGAAACACTGCCAAAAAACATCAACATGCTTTCTAGCTGCCATCTATTGTGCAATGCAAACCTCTTAAGATTTAATATTTCTAAAACTGCAGTGCACCTGCTTGCAAGAAAAACTACCTTGTCACATGATGACATGTTTTGTTAAATCACTTTTAAAAAAAAATTATTTATTAGCTTTAGAATGTGAGTTCCCTCCCTTTGTCCTTTCTTTTTTCTTCTCCACCCGAAGATTTGTCCATGAAAAAATTCTTCCTCTTAGAATTGTGATTTGTAATTGTACGATGCATTTCCCACTCTCTGCTTTTGATAGATCCTTGTCTTCTATCTACAGTGAGTGGGTGCATTTGTCCTGAAGACACTAGTGCCTGCTAGACCCAAGCACCAGATAAAACCCCAGTTTGGCCCAACTGGGAATTTGCCAGTGCCTGCAAGGTCACGTTGGTTCAACCAGCTCTTCACTACCCATCACTGGACTGAAGAGGGCTCTGCTGTCTGGCCAAACCTCTCTGCCTGCCACAAAAGAAAGTTTCTTCTTCTGTTTGATTTTTTTTTTTCAGTTGCTTTTCAAGGTAGATTTCAGCTTCGCAGGTGCTTTGCTGGGGTGGGAATCTGAAACGAGAGCTGGATGTCGCAGGTGAGCTCAAGTGGGCCAGGGGAGCTCAGAGTGGAGAAGTCTCCTGAGAAACAAGTGGCATCGCTTCATTTTGCTCCCACCTGGTAGATCAAAGTATTTCTCATCGATAACGACTCACAAGTCGCCTTCCAGGTGTCACAGAGATAAGGTGCTTCACTCAGGTTACACTTACCTGTTGCTGCACAAACGTGTGCTCACTTCACAGGGATTGCTCTTGAAAGACCTTTTCCTAGTTTTCAGAGGGGTGGTAGCATAGTCTCACTACCATTTCCCTTTGCCAAGTCATCTTTTGAGTCCCTCCATGCTTCTTCCACCTTCAGAAGGTGTAACACCACTAGAGTTTTCCACAAGTAACCAAAAAGCCATGTTGTTTTGCTTCACCCAATATCTGGCAACCTGGCCTGTAGGAAAGTGAGGACTGAGCCTAAGTCTGTGATCTCCATCACCTTTATGGTCACTGGTTTTTTCATTGCATTTGGCCTAGTGGAAGGTGTCCCTGCCCGTGGGGGATTTGGAATGAGATAGTCTTTAAGGTCCCTTCCAACCCAAACCATTCTGGGATTCTGGGATTCTGGGATTCTGTACCTGTTGCACAATGACAATGATCAGAAATCCTCAGGGAGACAAACACAGCCTCATTTCTGTCATGTTTGGGCCCTGTCTGGGGTGCTTAAACACTCTGTTGAGACCATGGGGGGAGACTGTCAGAGGAGTGTTAAGAGCCCTGGGCATCTGGCCTCTGGCTGCTGAGCTCCTGGCTTCCTCTGGCCTCTCATCTCCTTCCTCCCACAACCCACAACCTGCTTTTAATTCTCCACAACTAGAAAGGCAAAAGTGCCTGTTCAGGTTTCCTCCCTTCTCTGTCCCCCTAGCCTTTGAAGGAAGGATCCTGGAGAGCTTTTGAGGTGGATGAATTTAGCTGCTCCATCTGAAGAAAAAAAAACAAACCCGAAGTTCCCTGTTGCTCGGAGGTGCTCCAGAGGGAGGATCTCAGCAGCTGAACATTGTAGCTGTGGGTTCGCTTGGGTGGGTCAGAAGTAGCAGTCTCTCTTGCACTCATTTTACAAGTGAGGAGCTGAGAAGGCCAAGGAGACCTACTCAAAGTCCTGCAAGAACACTGCAGTAAGATTCAGTGCTCCAGTCCCTTCAGAGCAGATATTAGAACTTCCAGTGTCTGCCCTCTAGCAGCAAACTGAGGCGAGGAGGAGTTCACATTGCTGCTTCAAGCCTTGTGTGTGTGTTACAAGCCCCTGTGATGTTTTATTAGAAGAGGTGGACATAGGCGTGGGGGGCAGTTTGCCGTGACAGACAGATGCACCAGGCTCCCAAACCACCTGGTGCTTTTAGCAGCTGCTGAATGAATGGAGATCCCAGTGAAGTTTGTCCATATTTATCTGTGCTGCATACAGCATATGAGGGTCAGCTAATTACAAGCTGTACCACCACACTCAGAAATGATCCTGGAACAGTTTATTGGAGCAACAGGAAAGCAGGCTCAGGACAGCCAGGGCTAAATGCACTAACTACAGAATGTTAATATATGCAGTGCCATTTTGGGAGAGGCCGTGGGTCAATCTGCCATTTTGGGGCAGGCTGTGGGTCAGTCTGCCATTTTGGGGCAGGCTGTGGGTCAGTCCGCCATTTTGGGGCAGGCTGTGCATTCAGCCTCCGCCATTTCGGTGTGGCCCACAGGTGTGTGGAGCAGCAACCATCGAACTGACACAGAGCTCGCCCTGTTTCCACCCCCATTTCCCACCTGGTTGTTTTGAACCAGCCAACCATTCGTCTGGTCTCCCACACCTTCCCCAGGCACACCCCCATGGGGTGCTCCCTGCTGCACTGGAGCTGTTTGCCTCACCTCTTGCCTCTGTCTCTCACCCACAGCTTGCCAGACTCCCAGGGGAAGCTTCAGCTGTTTCAAGAGTCTCCTTCAAAAATAGAAAGACATGTTCCCCCCGGGAGGTGGTGCTTTGGCCAGAATTTCTCCTCAGAAGATGCCAGTGCCCTCAGGGCCCGGGTGCTGTGGCAACTTTGTAGAGCAC